ATAATAACCACACTCAAATCTGTCTTAAATTTGAAACTTTTTTTCTCCACACAAAATAATCTGAGCAATTGACAGTCTTAAAAGAGCTTTGCAAAGTCTCCAATGTGCCGCCACTAATCTTCACTGCAGGCTAACGGTATTTATAATTTCCTTGATTTTAACAATTTACAGAGTATCTCTAAATTGACCTCGTCATGGTGAGAGGCATTTGCCTTCTACGAACCCTAAATTGGTGGCCAAAATACCAAACTGGCTTCTAGTTATAAGAAAAACAATAACCCTAATATAAAACAAACAAAACCTGCACAGTCTCAGTCAGTTTGACAGGGCAGGGTGATCCACTGCAGGAAGCTGCCAACACCTTGAGTTTGAAGAGACACATGTCCAAGTCTTGTAATAGAGGGCTTCAGAGCATCCCTCCACAGGACATGCTGCTCAGGCTCCACGGCTGGCAGTAGTAGTGCAGGTAGGGGTGGTACTGATAGGCCTGTTGGTACAGTGGCACAGTCATTGGGATGTGTACTCCATTCCCCTGATGGTACTGCTTCTGATTGTCCCTCACCAGCACCTTTACCGCTACTTTCTTTGGCGAGCCGCGCGCCGCCAGCTCGGCCGCCATCTGCCGCCGTTTGGTTTTATATCTCCGGTTCTGGAACCAGATTTTCACCTGGGTCTCTGTGAGTTTCAGAGCTTCTGCCAGATCGGCCCGTTCAGGTCCTGAGAGGTAACGCTGCGTGTTGAAGCGGCGCTCGAGTTCGTAGACCTGCGCGTGAGAGAAGGCCGCTCTGGAGCGCCTCTTCGTGCCGGGCCTGCACTGCTGCTCATCGGAGGAGCAGCTGACAGTCTCCCCGCTGGGGTGAGAGCTCTCTTCATCTGCCTCAGTCAGCTCTGTGCGCCGTTGGTTCCGCTCCATACAGCCTGGCTGCTGCTCTGCAGGACAAACAACAGAAATGTGTGACGACAATAAGTGTGTGTTGTTTATCAAGGTGGTGACTGAGAGGTGACGTCAACAAGGTGCAGATGTTGGTCAATATGAGGCTTTCCTCTGTCTCCTATCATTTTCACACAGTCAGAAAGTCACAAGATACAATGGAATAAATAAGGCGAACATTTTACATAGCACAAACTCCCGGATTCTTCAACACAGCCTTTTGGTGTCATGCTTTAATTTTCCAATACTGTCCTTTCTAAGACAACAAAATGTCGGGGCAAAAACTTCATCACTGTGGAGCTATTATCTATTATCTATTATCTATTATAATCGCTTTTATAGGGATCTTTGGATTTATTTACAGAAATTGTCATTTTATTTGGAAAAAAAAATATGATAAATGTAGTCACAAAAAATACTGCTGAAAATATCCCATCATGTAATTTGATTGTTGTGAGTCACACCAATGTTTTATCTCACAAAGATGAGACTGAGGTGAGACAAATCCACCCTGTTTACAAAGATTTTATTTCTTTTTCCTTCTTAAATTGCATGACTTTATCTCTTATTTCAAGATGCCCATTTGCGCAAATGAAATTTAAATGCAGGGAACAAGCCAAATTGTCAATCTAATGTCATATGTCTCTGCGTAAAACTACAGAGTCTTTACATTTCCTTACAGAGGAATAGAATAAAGCTGCTCACCTTCCCTGAGCTCAGTCTGCTCTCCTGTGGCCTCCTCGATGTACGCATCAGATCGGAGGTTCCCAAAAGACACACAGAGATCAGCAGGAAGTCTCTCCGAGTGAATGCAGTTCTCATCTGCCTCGTGATGAGACCGATCAGGGATTCTCGTGTCATGCCCGGTGCACATGTTGCGCCTCTGTGCGCAGAGCTCGCCTGTCCTCCTGCTACCGGGCTTCTCCCGGGAATCACGTCCGGTGAGGATGTCTTTGATGGAGAAAGACGAAAAACTCAAAGTCATGGTTAATGTAAGAGCACGGATCTGTCCTCACGCGCGCATGCGATCTATTTGGAGGCATGAAGAGATCAGCCACTCGAAAGCAGAAGTCCTCACTGATTCGATCTTTTCCCCGCTGTCTTTAATTGCTTTAATTTAATTGTGGTGATCTAAGTCCGCTCTGCTAATGAACAGCCTACATCAGGAGCTGTCAAGTGTTTAACAACATTCTCAGCAGCAGCTCCAGTTAACCTTTGATAGGCTGTTTTCTGTGACTGGTCCCTCCTCTGCACCGCCCAGCTCCATGCTGCGCTCTGCGCTCTTAACTTGAGGACGGCGGACACTGATTTTGTAAACTAAGTATTTCACTTTGGTGAGCTTCATATGGCTAAAATTGTCGAAGCATTTTAAGCATGAAGGCAAGGAGAGTAATTGGACTCTCTTGGACATTTCAATCAGTCATTTTGGACACGAGTTAGAGACTCAGAGTGGATGTTGTGAACTACTCCTGCTAAATGGAGCTGTTCCAGCCACAGTGTGTTTACAAAATATGAATTATATGAAATTGTAGTAAGAAATTATGATGCGTAAAGTTCGCTGAGCGTGCGTAAAACGCAGCTCTGCGCAGTGATTCGTATATTTAAACGTGGTTTAAAATAGTTTCAAAATGCTGCAGCCTTTCTTTACATATAAAGTACTATTATTATTATTATTATTATTATCACCATCATTATTATTATTATTATCATACAACTTTGATTTGATTTTAGCTTCCACTTATTCTACCGTGCTGTGACAGGACCATTCCCAAATTAAAATGGCAAAAAGTGCTTCAATCCATTATTTAATTTTGACAGAATTTAACATATCAGTCTTCAGAATTGTGAATTTTACAAATTGTTTTATGCGTAAAATTGTGAATAATTTGGATTCTTATCGTTTTTACGTTTTTTATAGTGCCTGAGCTTTTGGAGGTCATGATGTCATTAAGCCATAATGTTTGTAAACAAAACTAGTAACTGAAATGTCACAAAATAACTGCGAATGATCAGAGTACATAGAGTAATTTCGAGTGAACAGCCTTCCAGCCTTGTAGCTCAAACAGGTGAGTAGCGCCGCCGTGTGGTCATAATGCATGGTGTCCAAAGCGGCGCGTAAAAGGAAAAGATGGCAACCACACACACCTCTCTCTCTCTCCCCCCTCACACACACACGCGCGCATTACACAATCAGTAGGCCTGCCCTTCATTTAGGAGACGCGATGACAGATGCAGTGATCTGCCTCCTCCCGTGTTGTTTTGTTTTCTTCCTCTGACTAAACAGAGAAATCTCACTGTTTGCCACAGAGCGCAAATCAGCTCCAGGGTGTCACAACATGTCCGGATGGGAAACTTTGAAGTTGTGGCACGCCAACACTTAACATGTGTTTAAACCACGAGATGTCGTCACCACAACAACAGAATGTAACATTTTGATTCAACAAAACGTGGGAAATTAGATTGCTACTTGGAAGCATGTTTGCCATAATAAATGGTGTTTTTTGGTGATTATTATCTGAGTTAAATCACTAACTCACTCAGCAACGTGCCTGCGTCCAAATTCACTCTGCACAAACACTGCCTGTGCGTCCAATGAATTTATACAGAGCGCAATGACTGAAAATATATTATGTGCTTTGGATCATGTGAGAAAGAGTCGCCTTTCTGTTACGCACAAAAGAAAAATATTAAATGTGGGCTTGTGATGCATCAACTGGTTTCCACAGTCAAGTCAGTTGTATTTACAGAGCAAAACTACAGGTTTGTCTTGGAGATTTTTATCTGTACAACAGGCACATCCTCTGTCTTTAGGCTACTCCAGGCTCAGTTTGAATTTGGCCATTAATCTAAATAAAACTGCATGTTTTCTAACATTATAGTATACCAGATAAAACTGAGACAAATTGGCTGTAGTCCTGATAAACGCTTCCTTCACCATCCGATGCCATGCTTGGACAGCACTTGGAGGTCCACAGCCTTTACTCCAGCTTCTCCACACATTCTTTTCCCTTCTCTATATTTGGGCCCTGGTTCCTTTGTGAGCTCCTTGAGTGGTTGCCATTGGAGACTTTGTTTTGGGAAACTCCACGCCTAGCGCGGCGATGATCCGAGCTGCTATCTTTGGAAAGCGCGAGATAGCGATCGCAGCAGCCTGTCAGAGCAGCCGTGGCCAGGCCGCGTCCTCAGGCATCGCCGTCCTGTCGCCAGCTCTATTTACACTAGTGACTGTGCAGCACTTAGAGCTGACACCAGGTATGTCCTACCGGCAGTGCGGTAGCCAGGGGAAGTGGCCAGTGAGGCTATCAGAGGAGACAAACACTCTGTTTACGTTGCCATTCATCTCCATTAATAGTGTCTGCGTAGTGGTCGAGCATGGCTGAGAGATGGAGGTGTCTGTCCATCATCTCCAATTAACAGCGAGTGTGTGTGAGTGAAATGTGGGTAACTATTATATGAATATAATTAAATATAGTCATTATAAAATTACTTGTCGGCTATTAAACCTATGATTATTATTTGGAGTATAATAAAATATATTTAGCTTTTTTTTCTTAAAAAAACGGGGGATGTTTTATCTTCCAGTGTCATGAACAACGAAGAGAATTTTTTTCAACAATATTTATCATGTCTGTGAGTTTCTTCTCTCTGTGGGTCCTGAGGATGCCGGCTGTCTGGTTAATGTCCATCTCTGAATCCTGACCGGACATCAGCTCGCCTCTAAATTCTCTCTGTTTCTGGTTCTTGTCTCAGACCAAAGTCTACCACAGGCTTTCTCACAGGAAAAAAATAGCTTGCTTGGCTTGAGAAACGACTTGAGATGATGAGAAATTATAGAATGTGCTTATAGAATAAACTCAACTCGACATTAATGTATTTGTTTCCCATAGAAATGCATATGAATGTTCTAACATGTGCCTCCAAACAAGACCGGAAACGTCCTATTGAGACTAAAAACCTACTTTTTTTTTTTTTTTTTTACATAAATTTATACTGTATACACACACACACACACACACACACACACACACACACACACACACACACACACAAAGCACACAACAGCAGGCACTTGTGTCATGTTTGTTATTTAATTTCATCAGTGATAATTTTTGTCATAATGTAAAAACGCCCAAATTATTCACTTCACATTGACTATCTTTCAAAATTTACTTGGAACAAAATCTGCTGGCCAAAACAAATCACACTGTTAAAAAAGAACAAAAAGCATAATACTTGTTAAAATTGCTTTATCCAGCAATTGTGGTCCATTTCTTATTTTTTGCAGTAAATTTTATGGCTCCAGTTGAATGGGCCTGTTAGGCCAACACTGAATTTATTATGGGCTTTATGCATGGAAATATCCATACAGTTTCCCTTTATTTTTGTCGCACATCACATCCATTTTGCGCCACAACAGGCCATTTTACGCACAGACTTTGTTCATCGGCAACATTCAATCCGACAATCAAACATCCAACAGCAAGTTTAATACTAAACACTGTGGCTCAGAGAAAAGGGCGCATACTGAATATGGTTTGTCAGTCAGTGGGTTAGGGTTTCCTCACAGGCCTGCCTTGAGTTACAGCCTACTGGCCTGTACTTTCTGCAATGGTTAATTGTGTTTTCCTTGCATTAATCGATCAGCTTTATCTGCTTGACTCCAATCAGCTATCCCAGAGAAGTCTCTCCGTGCGTAAAGACTGCGCTACCATGCCCGGATGCCCTGCAGAGTTCCCTGACAGGGTGTGACGACTGGTCCTTGGGGCGCCTGGCTTTGCGTCTGTGCGCTGAGATTTCCCAAATTCATGTTCATGAAAGCATTAGCAGTGGTGTTGCTGGGCGGCAGAGCAGGTAAACTAGAGTAAGTACAGGAGTAAGTGTTAGTATACACCGAGTTGTTGTAGCTGTAGGCCGGGTAGCCACTGTAGCTGTACGGGTTTGGAGCTCCGACTGTGTAAGAGGTGTTGTAGTTCTGGGATCCAGTGAGACAAGGCCTCCCGTCCCGGACCAGCACCGGCACAGCCACCCTCCTGGGTGGCGGTGGTGGGTGGTGGTGATGGTGATGACCCGCCATCTCCAGAGTCTTGTCCTGCCGCTGCCTCTTGCATTTGTACCTCCTGTTCTGGAACCAGATCTTGACCTGGGTGGAGGTGAGTTTCAGGGAGCTGGCCAGGTGCTCTCTCTCCGGGGCGGACAGGTAGCGCTGCTGCTTGAAGCGCCGCTCCAGCTCGAACACCTGAGCCTGGGAGAAGAGCACGCGGGGTTTCCTCCTGGTCCTCTGCTGCTTGGTGGCGGGCTTCTCTGAGTCTAGGTCCTCACAGTCACCCCGCAGCGCAGCGCAGCTCTCTGCGGGGGGAGGAAACGTTTAAGTGTGCATCAAAGCTAAATATGCAGTATTTGAAATTATTAATTCAACACTACATAATTTCTAGATCTCATTCATAAGTTTCCACATCTCATCACACTGATACCCACATCAAATACTCTAGTTAGTGTATCTAATTTATTTATTAATGTATTTTTTATATATATATATTTTATTATTTTTTAAAGTGAAATTGTACTCAATTGGAAGTTGCTTAAAATTGCTTAACCAGCTTTTTATAATTTTATTTAATTAGGAATTAAATCAAAACGTGGTTTAAAAGACTTACTCAGGAAAAATTGATTAAGCATTTACATTTGTCAATGCATCCATGAACTTAAGAACAATTTCCATCTTGGAAATTAAAGTTGCAGGTAAATATATTTAATATTAAAATATTTGCCGATTGTGTGATAATTAAATGCACATTAATTAATGAAAATCCTAGAAATTGTTTTATGGATTATTACATTGATTTATTTATATGGAATATTAAGAATACATTAATCAGTGCGGATGTAAACAACAGTTAAATGCCTGCAAGCTTTGTGCACAGCCACTAAGTGGCTGGCAGCGAACTTACAGCATGGGACAATTGTTCAAGGTGTGGCTTATAATATAAAGACGAGGCAATTAAACAGCTTGATTTTTTAAAAAATTTATTTTCTATTATTAGTAACACTCACCGAAGTGGAGGACACATCTCCTCTGTGTCCATTTAGTGATCGTTTCGTGATCATTTAAACATGAATCAGCAAATTATATCTTGTCTAAAGTCAGTTTAGATGTGATGTTTTTTGCAGGACATGTAGGCACATATTATGTTTAATTAAATCATGGTTCTGGATGACTCCTGTCAGTGCTATTATTTCTACAATTACCTATAAAAACGGCAGCTATCATTATCATCACTCTTTTGGATATTCATATTCATTAGTATCACTGTACTCACTGGTGTCTTGCTCCTCCTGCTCGGTCTCCAGCCGGAGCTCCGCAGAGTGGCTCTGCGCCGGGTTGCCGAACATCTCCCCCGACAGACTGGACTCCGCCAGCCGCTCCTGAACCGTCAACGTGTTGAGATACGACATCCTCTCCTCGCTCTCCGACAGGCCGGAGCTGATGGGACTTGAGCTGTCCCTGCCGGCCAACATGCAGGAGGGCGGTGAATAGGAGCGGAACGACTTATTTGGGAAAGCTCCCGGCTGTGACAGCGCACCGGAGAGACCGAAGCAGGAGATGAACTGGAGCTGGTGCTGCTGAGATTGTTGCTGCAACTCTAACTTGAGAATGTCCTTCACGGAGAAAGGAGTGGTGGAAGAAGTTATGAGCGGGCTGGGGAGCATTATTACCACCAACAGAGAGATGACAGATAACAAATAGTCAACAGGCCCAAAATTGGAGCAATTTGTCTCCGGACGGCGCGTAAAAGACGTAAATACCCTGTGCGTAAGCGTGAAGAATGGTCGCACACTGCTTGTTTTTCATGCAGACGGAGAAGGACTGGTTTTCGTTCAGCTGTGACATCCCTCTCCTTTGGCTGTATGTCTGTGGCTGGAGGGCTGGAAGAGAAAGAGAGAAGTCGATCCTGTTTGGTTGGCTGAATTCAGTTATCTAGAGAAAGAGCTGGGTCAGCCAAGATGCTGTCCTCTCCCTTTCAGTGACGTCCTGAAGCGGGGGAGGGACCGACAGAGCCAGCCTCTCTGTGTGTCGGTGTGTGTCAGGAAAACATATATGCCTAATTTATAAAAAATGATGAACACCATCGACTCTCATCAGACTGTTAAAGATGTTAAAGGTAAGAAAGTTTTTATTACATGCGTCTTGTCTTCCAAACAAAAAAAGGCATCAGAAAAGCTTCTTTATATTATATAATCAAAATGTTAATACAGCAACATTTTTCATTTCAACTGGTGACTCAAATTGCATTTATTATTTTCTTATCTTTGCTAAATTGTCCCACAACATCACAGCTCTTCCCATCATCACCACGGTGCTCTAAAGATTACGCATATCTTCGTTTCCTGTCTCGGCAATCCGTGGATAAGATACTCCGCCGCAACTGTGGGAAATGAGATAAAACTGGCAACCCAAGGAGCTGTGGAGAATATTTAGTGCTTTATTTATGTCTCCTTAATTTGCGAAAGTTGTAGGATTTTTTTTTCCACAAGGACTTGGCCACGATGATGTTTTCCCTTGACATTAGGTCAGTATTTTTGGAACAAAAAGGCCTGGGTAAAATATTGCAAGACAGCTGAATTGATACTATCCGTTTCTCGTGCAGCAAAGGCAAGCTTAAATGTTGCTGCAATATAATTTTAATTAAATATGTTGTGTCTCAAGGTCTTTGATAAATAAATGAATAATAAAAAGGACGAATTGTGCTTTTAAAAGTTATGCGTTTAGTTTGACACAGAAAATGTTCTTTGCATTTGTGTGACTCCAGCAACATGAGTCACAGATTCATGCCAGCAGACTCCCAGTATTCCCAACAACTTTTGTTCTATTAACCAAAAAATTTATGTTAAATATCTGTCTTGTATCCGTGTACCAAAAGGCAGGCACGCTGACTGGCTGAAACGGGACACCTCTTTACTATCTGTGGCCAAGTGCAGGCGCCAGGGTTTGAAGGCCCATTGCTCCTAAACCGTGTGGAAAGAAAAGGAGAGCACGCCGACATAATCTCATCCGCTCACCATCAACAAAGCGCTGTTTAGATTAGGGCCAGCGTCTTCCCCTCTTCTGGAGATCTATGTCTTTTAAAATGCTCCGTTTAAGTGGAGAAGCAGGGGTAAGGGATTGGGTTTGCGGAGAGAAGAGGCGTCAGTGCGCACAAGGTTTTAGATATTTTAAATGCGCTCCCGCAAAAAAAGGAGAAAAGAAGTGGAGATTTTGGGATGGTCGGATGAGTTTGCGCCGTGGAAAACTGCTGAAACTGCCTAAAATACAATCTTTATCAAGATTTACTTAATATAAGCACTGGTGATTTTCACAGTGTCAGCGGTGATTTCGCGCGAGTTAGTGGGAATTTACGCAGGCTTAAGTGGAATATATTGGCCTGTAAAATACTTCAAAAGGCTGTAAATCTGGTCAAATTGTTTCCCAAATATTTACACAGCCCTGTTTATTGAGTGCAATGATTCAAAGAGACAACAGACCAAACACAGAAATCAATGTTTGTCGCGTAATGACGACAACAAAATGAGGTTGAAGTGTTTAGCTACAAAATATTACCCAATGAAATCTACAGTGGTTAAATAGATAAGAGCGAAGCCTGCTGTATCTAAATGTCTCGCACTGTTATTTTAAAGAGGCTATTAAGAGCAAATTCAGTGCTCACAGGCCGCTGCAGCCTTCATGTGCATCAGAGCTTCACGGGTCAGAGACGCAGGTTACGCGCTAATGGCACAGTTAGTGTTTCATCCCTTAACGCGCACGCACAGCGCGCACAGCCTCACAGCGAGTCCTCAACTGACCATCATCAGCGGTCTTCGCGTGCCACCGGCAGCCCAAAAGTGGCCAAGCAGAGAAGCGTGTTTACGGAGCGGAAGAGTCTGTTTCCTGCCTGTAACAAAACCCAGACTCCCAGAGAGTGTCAAGGAGCTGCTCGGGCGCTGAATGCGGCTCTCCAATACATCATCTTCATTTCAGAATCATCGTGATAAGCTGGGTGAGGTCAGGCCCACAGCAGAGGTCAGCACGGATAGACTGCACAGCTTTCAACTGCTGGACACCAAACAAAGAGGAGAAATAACTAACTAAATTTAAAAAATCTGGCTTCCACCTCTGCAGCAGTCAAATTTCAATCATTCCTCACAATTCACTTTCTGGTGTAGTTCTTTAAAGTTGATGGCTTGCCAGGCAGTGCTCAACATGTTTCTTCTTGCCCCCTCTCCTGCTCTCCATATCACTGGCAGGCTAACCTGTCGAAGCAGTGTCTTGTGTGCAGAGTGGCAGGTGTATAGTCTTATCAGTGGTTGCAGGGCCACAGCACCGATCCGCTTGGAGATGTAGGGCTAAATGTTCTCCAAAGACAGCAGATCCCTGAACACAGAATGAAAGTTTGATGAGTTGGTAATGACTGCAATTATCTTTCCCCTGTGGTCTCTGCTTCTGTAAAGCCAAGAGGCGATTGGTATCTGATGGTTTTACTGCAGTGGTAAACTCTGCGTAAAGAAAACATCAACACCTCCAGCGTCTGTGGGTGCACTGTACAGGCCTTGTGTAGGATGTGTGTGTGTGTACTGAAAGAAGTTGTGTGTTATTATGACTTGACAGAGCTTTGTAGAGGAGCACTTAACATCTCTCTACAAAGGAGCTGGTTGTTTACAGGTGTTACTATAACAGCCTGGATATGTGATGGGGAACTGAAGTATGACTATCCATTTGTCTTACAGTATGCCAATAACAACAATAGATTGCTACATTAGGGAAAATAGATTAGCTCAAGTGAGTCTGCTGCACGATCTGTTTTCCATGTTGTGTGTGTGTGTGTGTGTGAGTGGGTTGGCTAATAGGGTGTGATAGCTTTCCCCCAGCATCTTGCATTAGGAGAGCGTGTTGCAATATGGAAGTCATGAGGCCATAAAGATTAAAGGACCTTGAAAATTTAGAAGAAAGCACAATTACACGCAGAGTGTGCTCGCCTCTTGTAGCTCATAATGTACTTTCCTTTTCCCTTTTATTTCACGGTCATCTGTAAGAATGGCATAAGACCAAACTGTTGTGCGGCTCAGTTCTCTGGGGTCCCGGAAGGTGAGTCTTATCAGCAGCCCACGTGATGGTGTCAGTAGCCAGGACCTAGACTGTGCTATTGTGCCCCTGCCTGGGCCCGAGTGACGGATGACAGCGCTTTCTAACTGGAGGAAATGAGGAGGCCAGAGGCGAGCCCGGGGCCAGATTTTTAGCAAAACCCTGTTCTCACCCACTTACCTTCAGCTCCACAAGCACCAAATATTCAATCTAGTTGCCAGGATACATGTTGGCATTGTATGTTACTGCAAATTATGAATATGTTACATTTTTACATCTCATATGTAGCAGATATGTTGAAATTTGATTGAAATTTTAAGTTTCTTTTCATCAGAATTTTAAATGTCATTGTTTTTGTTGTTGTGTCAGTGCTGTGGTTAATGTTTGGTTAGGTTTAGATACAGAAACTACTTTGTCAGGGTCAGGAAAGCATAATGTTTTGATTTAACAATACGCCGCTACAGACATGGCTAGAAATGTCCTGAACTCTTGTTAAAGAACTCCCACTTTTGTTGCTACAATCCCTATTGGAAGTGGCCTGAACTCCCATTAAAAAGTACCCAGTTTGGTTGCTACGAACAGGGTTTGAAATGTCCCAAACTCTCGTTAAAGAAATAATGTAGTTTGCTACCAACACAGCTGGAAATGTCCTGGACTCTCCTTAAAAATATGTGATTTTGTAGCAACTAACATGGCTGGTAATGTCTCCAACTCATGTTAAAAGTACCCAGTTTGGTTGCTACAAACATAGCTGGAAATTTCCCAAACTCTTGTTAAAAATATGCAGTTTGGTCACTACCAATACGGCTGAAAATGTCCCAAACTCTCGTTAAGAAATATGTGGTTTTGTAGCTACTAACATGGCTGGTAATGTCTCCAGCGTTTGGTAAAAGTACCCAGTTTGGTCACTATAAATATAGCTGGAAATGTCCCAAACTGTAGTTGAAAATAGGCACTTAGGTCACTACCAATACTGTCTGGAAATGTCCCAAACTCTCTTTAAAACATATGTGGTTTTGTAGCTAAAAACATGACTGGAGATGTCCCAAACTCTGTTAAAAATACTCTGTTTGGTTGCTACAAATATGACTGGAGATGTCCCAAACTCTTGTTAAAAAATATGCAGTTTGGTCGCTACAAACATGACTGGAGATGTCCCAAACTCTTGTTAAAAAATATGCAGTTTGGTCGCTACAAACATGACTGGAAATGTACCAAACTCTTGTTAAAAAATACCTGATTTTGGTCACTACAAATATGCTGGAAATGTCCCAAACCCTTAATAAAAAATACCTGGATTTGTTGCTGCAAATGTACTTCAGTGGTCTTGAACAGTGGTCTGCTCCTTGGCAGTCATCTTGCCTAGATGTCATGCCATCCACTATCACCTCCTGATGAGAAACTCAGCCTACATACATGTAATCTGAACTACGTCAGTTTGAAGATGTTGATGTGATACATATGAAACATACAGATGTAACATACCTGTGGTTTGCAGAAATATACAGTACCAACACTTCTGGCACCAAGGCTGAAATATTTCCCAATGGTGGTGGGCATGGAGGTGGAGGTGCTAACTAACTTGCATGTTGCAACAGTCCCTTGGGGCTCATTCTGTTGACCAGTTTAGTAAAAAGATACCCCAATAAGATCGTTTGTTTGACAGACTGAGAGAGGGTGGTGTGCTTGAGAACCAAAGCCCTGTTCTGTGTATCGAGGATCTAACTTGGAAACCATGAAAGGAGGAAGTGAGGTCAGGCCAGTCTGGGTCCCCTGCCCTTTGCCCTCCCTTGGGTCTCATAAATTAGCCCGCTGTAATTCTCTCCCAGACGGCCTTGCCCTGGCAGGTGTG